GGACCTGTCCTTCGATTTGGGCCAAAGGAAGGACGTATTTGTCGGCCGCATCGGAGGAGTCTTTGATTTTGGTCGTCCTTCGTCGCGGCGCTGTGACGTATGCGGCCGACAAATTCGGCCTTCGGACGACCCGGCCTGTCGTTTTGGACACAGCCCTAAAATTAAAATGTAGTACCGCTAATAATTAATTATCTACCAGTCATCATTTTTTTGAACAGCAGAAGGTATGGCTGTCAATAAATCACAACTCGTGATCTATCCAACAGCACCCCTCCCAAATAAACACACTTATTGAGAGTTATTAATTCTTGCTGACTGTTGCTTTCGGTCACGGTTCTGATTTCCCACAATGCTTTGTGTCTGCTTACGTAGCAGGAAGGCAATAGCAAAAACAGTTAACGTTTGTAATCCATACTAAAATTTTGTATGTATTGATTTATTTTACTTTACAATCGGAGCTCCTTTTTAAAATAAAAAAATCAAGTTTAAACGCTGGAGCTCAGTACTTGACGTAATTGGTCCAAGCAATCTGCCAACTGGGTTAGAAATGATTTAGATGTTATGCTGACGAAGACTGACATCTAGTGGTCAACTGGAGCAACTACATGGAAAACTTTAAAATCCAAGCTCTTATTTTGAAGTGAAGATACTTTCTTGTACTCCGTGCTTTCGTTTCCCATCACAAATCAAATCCGTTATGTACCCAGAATGCATCGCTTCAGTTTTCCAATAAACAGTTTTGAAATTACTTTATTGATGCTTCTTTAATGAAAAAACTACAACAAGCAAAAGAAAACGACAAAGAAGCAGCTGAACTAGCAATCCTCAACAACTTTTTAATTTTTACACCAGGAGATAAAGGTCTGTTTCAGGAAATTACATCCCCAGCAATCGGTGCTTGTAGAATTAAGTTGTAAAAGAGTTCATACACCACTAGTTGGCAGTGTTGTGCATATATTGTACATGAATTTTTGCCAGCTAGTAAGTGTCAAATTGAACTTATACTTTAAAATTAGCTTCCGCTAGTATTTCTGTGGCATAAGCGCTTTAGAAATTGCGGAGCTAATTTTTGGATTAGCGCTGCCCACCACTGATTATTTGTCACTTCTTTCTTTTGCAGCTTTTTAATTTCCATGTTTGTTTTTATTGTTTGCTTCATAATCAGTCTAGTAACATATAGCAAAACAGCAGCTAAAAGCTAAAAGTAGCCATAGAAGCTAAGGTTTTGATGTGTGATATTTTTCTTCCAGGATGGTCTAACCAGCGCGGGGACCTTCTGGCTCTTCTCCTGCATGTGCGCCCTCAACATCGTCTTCACAATAGTCGTCATCCCGGAGACCAAAGGCAAGACCCTGGAGCAGATCGAGGCCATTTTCAGAGGCACGTCGGGTCCATGAAGTGGCCACATGTAGAGAAAAACCCAAAGACCTCCATGTAAATGTTTGTAAAACTGACTGTTCCTGTGGGCATTGTAAAATCCTCCTGAACATAGAACCAATTAAAACACTTTTTTTCCTGTTTCTTTGATTTTAAAAATGGTTATTTTGTTCGTTTTAAACAAGTTGTGCCACTGTACGTTACTGAGGTACGACTAAAACCACAGCTGTGCTTCAGAATAAGCTTCTTTTAATTTAACAACCAAGTGTTCCTTTAAAGTGTTTATTCTGAAAACGTCTTTTTATTTTTTATTTTTTCCATCCAGAGGTCTTTGCTCTAACTGAGGTCAAAAGATCAAAACTTTTAGGTTCTAAAGATTTTGTGTTGAAGCACAGCGACACGCCTGTTGAGTTTATTAATTCTGAGTTCTGTCACCTAAACAGGGATTTGTACAATTATTATTTTCTTTGTGGAATCAGCTTCTATAATACTAAAGTGGAACAAAAAGTTGAGTTTTTTTAATGATGCTTGATCGTGTTTTAAAACTTGATAACAGTTGTTCCTGTAGATTTTCAAACTGACCTTTTACATTTAAAACAATATGAAATATTTGAGGCGAACGCATCGTTGAATGAAGGAGTTGCTGGTTACAGTGATTTAAATACATTTAAAGCACAACAGAAACAGACAAACAGGCATTTTAAAATCTTCCAGCTGTGAACTGTGAAGAATACGGGCATCTTTTATCATCTCATATGTTTTTATTTCTGTTATATCCTGAAACAGAAATGGTTTAAACGTGTCTCTTGCACACAAATGGCAATATGTCTTTTATTTTGTTTGTGACTGCTTGGTAAATTGAAGCTAATGTTTATTTTATTATTTTGTCTAATATGACAACAGAACATTGCTTTACTTTATGAGTTTTTTTTTTTCCATATCAGTCTTAATAGGTGTCTTAAATATGATGCTAATTGCCTCTTAGGTATAAATACATTTTAACAAAAATAAATAGTTAAATGGTTTATAGAACTGTAATGAAAAATAAAAAATGTTTTATTGTAAACACTGCGTATTTTAGCACCCCAAGAAATATTTTTGTGGTTCCTGCTTTTACTTTTCACTAAAAAAGTCAATTGTTTTCTATCATTTTATAATTCAACGTAATGAAGAAATGAGACTTTTGTCGCCCTCTCGTGGCCACAGAGAGAACTGCTAACACTTCCTGTGAAAACCTTCCAAATAAAAGTGACTTTTCTTGACTATTTTTTCTTTCTGTAATAAAATGTATAATAAGGAAGAAACGATTTATTTCATTTTTTATTTTAGATATGTTAATATTAATGCAAAATGTATAGATTAGAGCAGTTCAAATGTCACAGGAGGACAAGATGTCCACAAGTAAAATGTACATTAATTTTTTTTAACACCAAACTGGTCCTACTTTAGTCAAAGCTGGCTTCTTAATTTTGAGTAATTCAGTTTGTAAAATTGGTATTTTAGTTACAGAGTTGCAAGTACAAATTGTTACTGTACATACATAGAAATTTTGGTTATCTGTACTTTACTTACTTGAGTATTTATTTTTCAGCCTACTTTTTACTTCTATTCCTTACATTTTTACACAATTATTTGTACTTTCTACTCCTTACATTTTTACACAGTTATTTGTACTTTCTACTCCTTACATTTAAAAAAAAGGTAAGAAGTAGAAATTCGTTTCTCCTATTTCATTTCGGTTTGTTTTTGTTTGAAAAATACTATCCTGAAAAATTGTGGCTCCTGGATAGAGTGAGTTATTTGTGGTTGGATGAGAAGTATAAATATAAACCATTCTGACACTGTATTTTAATCAAAGTTGCACGCCTTTATAAAAAACATTTTTTATTTTATTTAAAAATATATATTTATTTTATTTTTCACCTTCCAACAAAGGTATTTTGGAAAATCTAACCGTTCATTTTTACTCAATACTTTTACTTTTAATACTTACACGGTAAATACATTTTATGTCAGAAATTTACTTTTGATACTTAAGTAC